AATAAATAAAATAAAAATAAGAAAAAGAAAATGTAAACTTTAAGATCATATAGTTTATTGATGTCAGTCATGTTAGGTATGAACCCAGGCAATCAACCAGACCAGGCATTCTGATGCGAGATTTATTTGGAACAGCAAGCAGGCTGGCTGTCTAGCAGACCAAGACAGCAGCGAATAAAGTGGGGGTGGGGTGGGGTAGGGCAGACTTTATAGGATCATTTAGGGAGGGTGAGCATGGGTTGGAACAGCTGAGGGAGAGCTAATCTTGGCAGGGCTACCTTGTCTGTGGGGAACTTTTAATTTTTTTTTTTTCAGAACTGGGGATTGAATTCAGGCCCTTGCGCTTGTTCTACTGAGCTATCTCCCCAGGCCCTATGGACTTTTAATGTTAACAAAGGAGAGTTTCATGATTGCTTGCCCAGGTCAAAGTCAGGTGGACCTGTTCTTTGGTTTTGGGTTTGGCTCTGCGTGAGGCCAAGGGGGAGAGAGTTTGGGGCCAGGGTGCCTGGGAAACCAAGAGGGAGAGTGTTTGGGGCAGGATATCTGGGAAACTTTGAATCCTGACCTATCAAATTATACCTCAAAAAACTGCTGTTATGGCTTATACCCAGGTGTCCTCCCAAAGCTCCGTGCATCCATAGTTGGGGCTTTTGGGAGGTAACTGGATTTTGGGTGTGTGATACTGAATCATGGGTGTGGATATTGGTTGGTTTAGCATAGTTCTGGGTGCAGATGATGGATTTACTGGAGGTGGAAGACCTGTCCTGGTTGTGGGTTGCGCCAACCAAAGGCTTGGAGCCTAGATAAAATGAAAAGGGAAAGCAAGAAGAAGGCTGCTGTGTCCTGCCTGCCCTGCCCTAGACTGTTCCTCCTTGGCCATGCCTCTCGGCTATGCCACCCTGCCTTGGAGCCAGCTGATTATGGACTGAAACTGATCGGTTCTGGCCCTTGTTTAAATTGCTGAGTTTCTATGGTGGTCATCTAACATATCTGAAGCTCTTAAAACAACAGCTTATCAGGGGTCAGGGAGATGGCTCAGTAGAATAAGTGCTTCCCTGGCAAGCGCAAGGGCCTGAGTTCAATCCCTGGTGGTGGTGGTGGTGGTGGGGAACAGCTTATCTTCCCAATCACCACTTCCTCCTTCTTCCCCACTCCAGCCCTGGATACAATTTCTTCTTACCTTTCCTGCACACACAGGAGAGACCCCAAGCAGCTCATTACATGTAATTGAAACTGCCCCTCTAACTCCACCCATAGCAAAGTCCATAAAAGCCTCAGCTTTCTTGTCTCAGGTCAGAGGATCTATCTGCCCCACCTGCCCTCGATCCTCTCCATGTCTTTGGAGTTAGTAAAGGCTTCTTTTATCTTTTTTATCTCATTACTGAACTGCTTAAAAAGCTAACAGAAACCTCTGTGGATTGTGAGCTAAAATAAACCTCTTTCTTTGACTTGTGAGTATTGTGTATTTTGTCCCAGCAATAAAGAAGTAACTAAGACATTCACTTTAGGGAAACTTTACAGAACTACTACACTTAACACTTGTGCATTAAAAAAAAAAAAGACTTGTGCATTTCAGATGAATATGGCAGCACATATCTATAATCCCAGCTACTTGTGAAGCTGAGACAGGAAGATTGCAAGTTTGAGGCTGGCCTGGGCAAGATCCTGTCAGACAAAGAGAGAGAAGAGAGAAAAAGGGAAAGGGGAGAGGGGAGAGGGGACAGAGGTTCTGTCTTAACATTTGCAAAAAAAGGTTGGGATATGGCTCAGTGGGATTGATTGCCTAAAATGTTTAAAGCTCTAAGTTTAACCCCCAGTACTAAGGAAAAAGTATTTCATGTATAGAATTTATACACATACGTATACACGTTGCACCTATTTAAGGTTTTAGTTACCTGTGGTTATTTTTGTTCTGAAAATATGAAATGGAAAAGTCCAGAAATAAACAATTCATAAGTTTTAAAGACTGTGTTGTTTTGAGTAGTGTGATGAAATTTCCCAAATGTGAGTTATGCCTTTGACAGCAGATGCACCAGTCTACACTACTTGCCATGGGTCACTTCATAGTGACCGATGGACTATTGTGTTAGTGCAGGGCTTTGGCCCCTAAACACAAGAGAAGTGATGCTGGCAATTTCATTATAGTGTGTTGTTATGACTGTTCAATTTTATTATTGATTATTGCTGTTGATCTTTTACTGTACCTAATTTATGAATTAAACTTTATCCTAGAAAAAGACATCGTCCATACAGGGTTTGGTGTTCTTTGTCCATCCACTGGGGGCCCTGGAATGTGTCACACAGACAAGACAGGACCCCTGTGTGCCTATGTGACAGACACCAGGCGTGTAGCTTTGAGCAGGTCCTTTTATCTTCTGGGGAAGCAGTATCCTCTTCTGTCAAGAGCCAGGCTGTGCTCTGAGGTCCCTGCCTGCCTGTGTCTGTGTGTCTAAGGATAAAGAGACAGCCCCTGGCAAACAGTGACAACACACAGTTAAACCAGACCAGATTTCCAACACAAACCCTGGGGCCCAGCCTGAGCCCCTTTAAATTCCATTCATCTATCCCTGTGTGTTTGTACAGAGAAAAACCTGTTGTGCTTAAAGTCCTGATCTTGGAGCCAGGGCCTGAGGGGCAGGGAGAAGGCAAATATTGATGCTGGCTGCAGAGCTCTCAGCCCAGGCTGCCCTGCTGCCGCTGTCAGGGGAGAGCCTCCCCTCTACCTCTCTTGGGTCCATGCTATGGAGTGCAGCTTGGACGGTGGTGCAGCACATGTTCTCTTCTGGGTAGAAGAACTGATAGACAAAGTAGTGTCCTGCTAATGACATCTACCAGCTGTTTGCAGGCTGAGACCCTGGCCTGGGGATCCCTGGCTGAGAGATAGCAAGCCACCAGAGGACCCCAGCCGGCTCTGATTTTTTTTTTTTGCAGAACCAGGGATTGAACTCAGATCCTTGCGTTTGCCAGTCAAGCGCTTATCCTACTGAGCCATCTCCCTGGCCCCACGGCTCTCATCTTGAGCCCATCAAAGTTTAGCTCTTGCATCTGTGTGATCCTCACCCAATACCTTTATCTCTCTGTGGCCCTGGAAAGTGGAGAAACCAAACCAGGCTTCAGATTGCTTGTGAGGATTGGAGAAAACAAGGTTCCAACGATCAGGCCTTTTCCCCAAGCGCTGGCTGCTAATACTTGTGACAGTGGCCAGCACAGTGCTGGCACTACTTTTTCTGCAGGGAGTTTCGCTGTTTCTCTTCCAGTCCTCCCAGACCCTGCTTCCTCAACCTCCTTTGCAGCCCTTTCCAAAGCAGATCAGTGTATTCCTCCTGCTTAAAGCCTTGGCCCCCTGGGCAAGGTCCCTCTCCGCAGCCTGGAAGCCAAGCTCTTCACCACCCTCGGCACCTGGGACCTCCATCCTCAGCCTTAGGGTGCCTCCCTGCTTCCCCCACCACCCCCATGCTCCTGGCTCTTTCCTATCTGAGGAAGCAGAGGTCCCCTGACCATGAGGCAACAGCCAACCCAGCTTTGGAGGCCAGCCCCTGGCCCTGGCCCTGGCTAGTCAGCACAGGTAGCCCGCTACCTCACCTGTCCAGTGAGACTCGAGATAGGCATTTCTCTGGTTAGGGCTCCATTGACACCCCCCTGCCCTCAGGGCACAGTGTGTCTACCTGGCCCCCAGGACCCGCTCCCCTCTCTTGTTCCTCTCCTACTCCCCACCCAGGGGCCCTGGCCACTCTCACCTGGTGGACTTTTCCTGGCTGAGCCCCCGACACCCTGTGCTTTCCTCAGGGAGCAGCCCAGGTTGCCCTTTCTTGGCTCCCTGCACAGGTCTGTAGGAAGGAGGCTCCCTGTCAGCCTAAACCGTGGGGAGCCGAGGATGGGACACTCAGCTGAAGACAGCATGCTCCCATTCCTCAGGCAGCAGCACCTAGGAACACCAACTCCCACTGTCTCGGGATGATCTCTCTGGTGTCAGAAAGGAGATGGTCTGGCTCCTAGCAGCAATTCTTTTTTTTTTTTTTTGCGGAACCAGGGATTGAACTCAGACCCTACTGAGAAGAGGTGAAGAAGCATAGTTCTTTTTTTTTTTTTTCTAGCCGCAATTCTTGGGGCCCAGATTTTCTCGCTGTCCCACCTGCTCCTTCATGATGTAAGGTTCAGCCTCTGTTCTCAGGACTTATTCTTGGAAGCTCGGCACCCCTTGACTTGGCACAGGTAGGCAGAGCATACCAGAGAGAAGGAGTAGGGCAGTGAATGAAGCGTTGCACACCACTCTCTCTGGTGCCATTTCCATTTCAAAACTCACAAGAGACTGGTGTAGAAAACCAAAATGGTGCTAGATCTGTCTCCCTTGACAGGAGCTCTCTCCACATCTTTAGAATGACTGCAGGGCACTTTCTGAGCCTGGGTGTGCTTGGTAGGTCACCTGGCAAGCTAAGAAAGGCTTTGGTAGGGCTTGCTGGCTAGCTCAGTTGTTTAAACTGCTGCTTGGGCAAACATAGTCAGGCACAGGGGACTGTGATTCAATCCCCAGCTCCACAAGTCCCACCACACTCACCCTTAAGGCAGCTTGAACTAGGAAAAAAAAAAAATCCTTCTAGAAAGGCTTTGAGCTGGGGTGTGACTGATGTTTCAGTTCTGGCCCTGACTTTGCTGTGAGATCCAGGGTGGGTCACTCCCCTCACCCCCGGCCTCAGTTTCGCCACCTGTCTAAGGAAGACATCCATCCTTGCCTGCCTGGGTGTTGTAAAGTAGGAACAGGCTGAGAAGCAGCTCACTGCGACTCCAATCCTTTTTTCGGGAACCAAGGCTGTCCAGGTGGCAGCTGGGGTGGGGCCAGAGGGGCTTGGCAGGGTGGGCAGAGTGGTGAGGCAGCCTCCTGCCATCCTCCCTGCACATCTTCTGTTCTACAGCACACCGGGATGCCTCCTGCTAGCAGGATGACAAAGGCCCTGCCGCCTGCACAATATCACGTGACCAGTCAGGAAGGAACACCCAGCTTGTCAGCCTAAGGTACCAGCAGGACCGGAAGTGGTATGTGCTTCACTTCTGTGCCATCCTGGAGGATGGCCAAACTCCTCAGCTTCGCAATGGCCCAGACTGATTTCTCCAGGGATGACAAGATGAGGAGCTGCAAACCTGTCTTGGAGCAGATGTGCCCATTTCCTCCATGTGACCCCAGACAGACCTAAAATCATGGAGGTAGACTCTCATCTTTGTATGAAGTGCCTGACGTGACAGAACTAACTCCCTGTTGCTGGAGGCATTCAGGGAGAGGCTAAGCCACTGAAGTGTAGGAGAGGCGATTCAGATTCACAGGTGCTGTGGAGGTGCCACTAGACCACTGTGTTTTGCTTTGCTTTGCAGTGCTGTGATGGGAGCCAGGGCCTTGAGCACACCAGGCAAGTGCTTCACCATTAAGCTGCACCCCACTCTATGAGACGATGTTAAAAGTGCTTTACTGCCTGGCTGCCAGGACTCAGGCTTTGTGTGAGCAGTCACCAGCGCCATCCCCAGTGGCCCCTGGCTGGCCTGGATGACCCCCTTAGGATCGCAGACAGGAGTACTCATCAGACCAGTCGGAGCAGTGCTGCATGCCGTCCTGGCACAAAGTCCTCGGGACACAGCCGCAGTACTGGAAGAAGGTGGAAGAGCAGCGCCACCACCCAGGGCCGCAGGGTGGGCACGCGGTCACTGAGGAGACAAGAACCGGCAGGAGGGTAGCTGCTGTGTCCTGGAATGTCCCACTCCCCTGGTCCTCCCCAGATCTGCAGCTTGCCTCAGCTCCCTAGCCCCACCCCAGCTAACCTGGGCTGGCCAATTCCTGGTTTTCTGGTAGCAGAGAGAAGTCGAGCTTTACAACTCCTAGACAGTATGAGCTCGCTTGTCCTGTCCAAGCCCCACTTTCCCATCTGCTCAAAACTGTTACTGAGCAACAGAGAACAGGCAGAGCCCAAAAGGTAATGGGTGCAGCTCTTCTCCCCCACATTCTCCCTCCCTCACCCTGGCCTCAGCCCCATAACCCCAAGGGTGCCCCTCGGACCTCCCTCCCACCCTTCGCTGGCCTCCAGCGTGCCTTCCTCACATATCCCCTCCCCCCAGCTCTGGTCCCTGAGGCCTGCTCCAAGGCTGCCTCTTGTGGGAAATCTGCCTTGGTCTCTCTGGAGCCCTAGCACTCCCTTTTGTGCATTCTAAGGACAGGCATGCCTGACCCCTGACTGACCCCCACTTGTGCACCCTGGACCTTGCCCCAACAGTGCTCAGAGCATGTTTATTGAATGAATCCTGGGGAAGAGACTTAAAGGAATCTGGAGAGGGACCTCAGAGGTGGCTTACACCCCAGGTTTCCTTCCTGCCTCAGCTTGTCCCTTCTGCCTCAGAGCTCTGGTTTCCTTATACGCAAATTGGGTCTGCGATCCATTCCCTGCTTTCCTTGCAGGGCCAGAGGAAGGTGACGAGGGTGACCCAGGTCCAGATGCCAGTGCGCCACACCAGCACCCCATGCATGACCATCCTGGAAGGGATATGCTCCCTAGGGAGGATCAGCCTCCAGGGAGAGCTGCTGTGTGGTAGTACACACCCTGGCCCAGAGACATTCAAGCTGGAGCGCAGAAGGCATGTAGTGGGGGAGCCAGGGAGTTCCCTGGCCCGCATCTGCCCTCTGGCTGCAGCTTGGCCACCTGCCCCAGTCCAGCCTGTGCAGCAACCCCACCTGGGCTCAGTTCATCCGAGCAGTCCCCGCAGTTGTTGGTTCCGTCACACTTCTGGTCAGAATAGATCCAGGAGGCCGGGTCTCCACAGCGGGCCACGAGGAAGCTGGGGAGGCTATGGGGTGCATCTCCTGCAGAGCCAGGCCAACCCAGAAGAGTCCACATCTGGCCACAGCTCCCTTGGGGCTGTCTGGAGCTGCCAAAATTAGGGTCACCTCCCTCCCATCCCAGGAAGGCAAGAGAGGCTCCCAGGAGGATGTCAAGAGGCAGGGAGAGGCGCTCCCCACCCCTCCAGCCCTCTGCTGTGGGTCCACACTGACTCCTGCTTCTATTGACCCCATGAGGCTGGCTGCGAGCTCTCCTGAGATCAGCCAGGTCTTCCTATTTAGTCATTTGCTCACCAAGTCACGCCAGGCACAAGGCCCCAAGATCAAGCAGACTAGGCCTGCCCAGAGGCACCCACAGGGTGGCAGATGTGACACCAGTGTGCCCAGGGCTGGATCACAGGAAGGAGCAGGGGCTGCAGGAGCCCCAGGGAGGCCCCTCAACTTGGCCAGGAGTCATAGTGGTTTCCTGAAGGAGCAGCCCTTGAGCTCTGCTGGAGGATGTACATGGGCTCTTGGGTGATGGACGCCCACTGTGAAGGTGGCCCCATGTGTGACAGTCCTGGCTGTAAGCCCCATAGGCACATGTGACAGTCTTGGCTGAAGGCTCCACCCCTTCAAAGCTGGCGCTTAGCTGCACTACAGGGGAACTGAAGCTGGGGCTTGCCTGGGTGCAGGGGGAAGCAAGAGCTTGGCTCAACAGACACTCACGGCACAAGCTCTCGTCCTCGTCCTCACCGTGCGGACAAGTGCGAAGGCCGTCGCATACCCCACTGGCAGGGATACAGCTCCTCCAGTCATGGCACAGGAAGCCTGTCCTGTTGGTTGGTGTCACACAGGCCTGGGCCCCTAAGTGGACAGGAGAAGGCCTTGGAGGTCAAAGGAAGCACCTAGCTGGGCAGGGGCAGGCACCAAGGGTCACGTGGAGCTGGCCAGGAGGGCGGGGATGGGGGAGGTTCTGTGTCTCAGTGGCGTCCATGTCCAGGTTCCGTATGACCATCCATGAGTTTGGCCTCTGTCTGTAAAATGGTATATAGCACACACCTGGGTGCCCCCAGGGCAGCTCCTGCTTCAGTTGCCCTGCAGTGCTGCTGTGTGGTTTAAATAAATGTATCTTTAGGGGCCGGGGAGATGGCTCAGGAGAATAAGCACTTGCCTGGCAAGCCCAAGGGCCTTAGTTCATTCCCTGGTTCCACCAAAAACAAACAAACAAACAAATAGAATAAATGCATCTTGGTACACATAGAAAAGTCAGGTTCTCACCTTTCCTGATGACTTCTTTGCCATCCACAGGCCACTCTGAGAGTGGTGTTCTGCTTGCCAAAGTGGCTTTACTGGGGGGTATGCAGAGCCATGTAAGTCTGTCAGATGCGCTATATCTGGGCTATCTGGGTGCCCATAGTTCACAGTCCCTTACATCTAGGCACCACAGGCTACAAAGCACTTTTGAATGTTTAAACTATTGTACCCCAAGCAGCCCTGCAAAGTGCCACCAGCGGCCTTCCCACAGGCCACCCTCCACTGGGGCTACCCCAGAGTCACAGGAGAGAAACTGGCAGCCGAGCTAATGTCACCCTGGCCAAGCAGAGTGCACATTGGTGCTTATGTGAGCCACGTTTTGGTTCCTAGAGATATTGGGGTCAGTGTGACAGGGGCCAGCTCACGGGACACTCATACTGTTACCAACGTATACAGACGTGTGCTCACCTTCATACACAGGCGCACACATGCATAAGGATACCTGCAAGCACACATCCCATGCAGGCCGCATTCACACTTCCTGTGGATCCACAGCTCCACCAAGTCCCTGCTCCTGTGAATTTAGCCCATGCTTTGCTGTTGGGAGCTGCAGGAAGCTAGGAAATTGATCAAATGTGCTTAGGTGGGCCTGGGCCTCAGTGCCTACAGCAAAGAAGCTGTCTCACTCTTGAGATAAACATCAGGTTTAGTTCAGGCCAGTTATTAGTTGCTAGGCAACCTTGTATCATGTTCTACAAACTTTGCAAAAGTATAAATAAAGGATCGTTTTGCTGTGCACTGAGTTGGTCTTGCCCATCAGGCTGGCTATCGACCACCTAGTCCAGCTTTTTTTTTTTTTTTTTTAATTTTTATTTATTTGTGTGTGTGTGTGTGTGTGTGTGTGTGTGTGGCCAGCTCAGCCCACCAGGGGGCGGGGCTGGCTGGCATGTGGTGCTGGGGGATTGAACCGTGGTCGCTGTGCTTTGCCTAGCTTGTTCTAAGTAGGTGCTTTAGACCACTGAGCCATCTCACCAGCCCCTAGCCCAGCTTTTGTCTTCTATCTTTCTCATTACACTTTACCTCATGGCTTTACCTCCCCAGCTTCCCAGCTACAGAGCCAATTCTCAGAAAGTAGATCTGGAGACAGCCACCTCCTGCTCTGTCCCCTCCCCATGGCTCTGGGATAGACCCCTGCAGGGGCCCTGTGCACCTGGCCCCACCCACAGTTCAGTCTTGTCTACCCTGGCCTTGCAGTCTCCGCCTCCGCCTCCTCCCACACTGCTCCCGGAGGCCCTTGCTGACTCCACCAAGCCATCTCCACTTTGCTACTCACCTGGTCCCCTTCATCCCGCCTTCCACTTCAGCCAGAGGCCCTGTTCCTGACCTCCAGCACCCAGGCCCTGCCCTGGTGTGCGCATTGGACCCACGTTCACACAACTCTCCACAATCTTCCCAGGGATGGGGACAGTAGTGGTTATTGATCCCTGAAGCCAGGGCCGCAGGAAGGTGTGGGACACAGCCCTGGCCTCTGTGGTGGACACACAGAGAGAGAGAGAGAGCACCAGGGGCAGCTGGACCAGGGTAAGAGAAGCAGCTGAGACAGGACTCCCAGCCCAGCCTGTGGTCTCCTCCCAGTGGAGGAGGTGCAGTGGGAGCCAGACCCTCCCAGGAACCAACGTCACAGATGTGATGGACTCGAGGCTCGGGCTGCACAATGGCATCTTCGTGTAGGCACAAGGATGCAGAGCCCATGTCTGCCCCTTAAGGCACTGGCCAAAAATTGATTGCTGGAGAAGCGAGGCAGGTCAGGGCTCCCAAGCCCCTACAGCAGCAGGCCATTTCCAGTGGGTCTGATCACTTTCTCCCCACCTGGTGTGCGGGCTGGGAGTCCAAGGCTGATGACTAGGGTGACAAGGGCAGCAAGTGTGGCCAGCAGTAGCAGTAGGAGGGCGGAGAGGCAGGCACCACGTCTTGAGCAGCAGGGACCACGGCCTCCTGCGAGGGGTGGGAAAGGTGGTGTTGGTGTCGACCGTGCCCAGGTTCACTCTGGCTCTTGTCCTGCCAGCAGCTCTCTGGTACCAGGGGGTGAGGGCAGGGAGGGCTGCTGGGGGTTGGGGGACATCCATACCCCATGATGCTTTGTGGCTTATGCCACCAACTGCCACCCTGGCAGGTTCCGCTCCTAAGCTTCTCCCAACTGGCCTCCTCAGGACAGAGGGACAGATGAACACCTGTATATCCAGCTCCCCCTAGGCCCTGTGTAGGCCTCATTCCTGTCTCTTTAAAAGCCATGCTTTACTTTATCTGAAGAAACTGGGGCTCAGAGAAGCAAAGGTCCAGGTCCACTTATGCACAGCTGGGATGTGAGTCCATGCCTGCCACCTGCCTGACATCATGACCAGGCTTTTTCCACAAGTCCAGCTGTCTGTCCTAGAGCATCAGGCCCTTGGGCTTGCCAGGCAAACGCTTATTCTACTGAGCCATCTCCCTGGCCCCCAGCTGTCTGTTCTAGAGCCCAGGAGGATGGAACAATTCCAGTTCCTCCACTTCCTATCTGGGCCACGGGGTGAATTATTTCACTACTCTGTGCCTCAGTATCCTGATGTGGAACATGGGAGAAAAAGTTATTTTAGAGTTTACTGGAGGTTAAAGGGAAAAACTGTGTAAGAGAAATTGTTCCTTTTAAAACTTAATTCTTTTGAAACAGCCTAGTTCTGTAACTGCTTCATAGCTTTGTAATTACTTTCTTGATCCCTGCAACCATGAGAGCATATGTGTTTATTTTTTATTATTATTGTTGTCAATGTTATTATTTTCAGCATAGAAGATGCAAGATCCTGAGTTTGATTCCCAATACCATAAAAAACAAAGAAACAAAAAACAAAACAAAACAAGAAAACCCAAAGAGATGGAACCCAGTAACCTGCACCTGCCAAGAAAGTGTCTACCACTGAGCTACATCCCAGCCCTACTACGTGCCAGGCTCTGTTCCAGCCCTGTGGGATTAGGACTGTGTGGAGGCATGCCTGCACCCATAGATAGAACTGTACTTTGGAAGAAAGCTCTGATGAGAGTCCTCAGGGTGCATTGCTCTGGAGAAGAAGTAGCTCTCTGTGTGTGTGTGAAGTAGCTGGCCTTACCCTCTGAGAGCCTGGGGCTGCACTTAGGAGTCAGGCTATGGACACACAGGAAGGAGAAATGGAATTTGGTTGTCCTGGGAAGGCCCTGGTACCAAGAGGAAAGGACAGGAGCCAGTGTGGTTTATCCTGTCACCTGTAGCTCTGCCCACAGCTTAGGTCAGTAGTTCAGAGCCAGCACGAGGTGGACACTTTCCGAACACTTTGACCACACTGCCCCTGTGAGTACAGAGGAGGCCTTCCGTTTGGGTTCTTTCTGGTCAATTCATTCACTTCTACAGCCACCTGCTGAGCATCCCTGCACCTGCTCAATGTCAGGTGCTGGCGGTGGCAGGAAGGGCTAGAGGTGGCACAGGGCAGAGCCCTTGCCAGGCATGTTCCAGGCTCAGCAGTTTGGGAACTCAATGCAGGGTCTCCAGAGCTGGTGGGCACTTAAGCAGGCAGGAAGATACACTGTTGAGGCCAGGCATGCCAGGTAGAAGGATAGGAGGAGTGGTACATGGGTGTGCTGGCTAGGGGCAGTGTAAACCTACACCCGTGATCCCTACGGTCTGGCTGGTGGCTCTCCTGCCACTGGCAACCACAAGTAACCAGGAGGACTGCAGGAAGCTGACAAGGAGAGGCGTCCCAGTCACCCAGGGAACTGCCCTCTACACAAGCATGCAGCGCAGACTGCATCACCAGGGGGACTCAAGGTGGTGTCACTGGGACTTGAGAGATTGGCAGAATGAAGCCTCATACCCAGGTGAGGGTGTTATGCCGCAAAGCCACCCTTGAACAGAGGAGCTATAGGTTCCACAGCTGCATCCGCCATAAACCAGGACCTGGACACAAGCAAGCACTGATGTGGAGCAGTGAAGGCTTTATAACCAGAGGCCTCACATCCAACCTGCACCCTGCCTCTGCTGCCAGCTGCAGGACTTGGACCTCCTTGACCAGCCTGCTGCCTGGCTGGCCCCTCCGTTTGCTATTATTGCCCATCACAGCGCCCAGGCCTCAGAGGGACCCTAAGGTTTGAAAGAGGGGTACAGTGCCCCAGGGATAGAGCCACAACATTGTGACTGTCAATTGCTTCTGTTTCCTCACTGAATCAAATGGGAACCAAGACAGGGCACACAGGAGTTGCTAAGTGTGTGTTCCTCCTTCCTTTGCTCCATACAGCTGAAGAGCATGGTTCAGTCACACAATGAGCCAGCACACACAATAGATGCTAAATAACTGCGTGATCCTGGCACATTCTGTCCCTCCAAGGTAAAGAGAATCACCAGCTTACTTGCTGAGTCCAGGATTAGAGCTGGACATTACCTGACCTTGCAGGTGGGCTCTGTGTGCAGTGCAGCACCTGGGAGGTGCCAAGCATACAGCAGGTGCTCAATAAATGCATGTGAATGCAGAGAATCAATAGTTCCATTAAGCGAATGGCTGCTAGCACGGCCAGGCAGGGAGCAGGGAAGACAGCATAAACACGGGTGGGGGTGCTGGGGGTAGGGCTCAGACCTTCTTTGTGCCTTTGGAGACAACTGCCTGGCTCCATGCCAGCCCCTCCGGGCACGGAGCCCACAGGCCCAGGTCCTGTACCCTTTACCTTCTTCTTCGGGCCTGGTTTTGGTTCCACCAGCAGCAGTAGCAGCAGCAGCAGCAGCAGCACCGCCATTAGCATGTCCCTGCTCAGGAGAAGAGCCAGGTGTGCTTAGGAGAGGGACTCCCAGCCTCAAGAGGGACCATAGGCTTTGTCAGTGGTCACTGAGAGCCCAGAGGCCCTGCATGGCACACACTGCCCGCCTGGGTCAGCTTGCCCTCTCCCCCTCTGTGCCGGTGCCTGTACCCTCTTCTCACCTTGCACCCCAGCTCGGCAGCTCTTGGGGGGACACCATCACTGCACATGGACCCCCTATCCCAGCCTCTGGGCACAGCCATCTGGAGGGTTTCTCCAGCAGCCAGGCAAGCCAGGCTGAATACCCCCTCATCCCAGGGTCTGCCTGCGGGTCTGGAGGCCCATAGCTCTCACCTGGGGGAAGATCTTGTTCATGTCTTGGCCTGGGCCTGTGTGGCCAGCTGAGCTGGGCTCCCTCTGGGTCTCCAGGGAGCCCGGAGAAGACACACAGGCCTGGCCCCGCCCTGTGCCCTCCCTGGCAGAGCAGGATTAGGGCACCCGCCCGTTAGGCCTGTCCCAACTCTGGCAGCAACACTGCAGGCTTGGAATCCTCATCCCTACTGCACAGGCAAACTGTAGACCCTGAGCCCTTGGGGAAAGGTTGGGGGAAAGGGCAGGGGCTGTTATTTCCTGAGCAGCTCCTATGCTCCAGGCCTTACCGCAGCTCCCTCACACATACCCTCTTACGTAATTCTTGCGCTAACACCATGAAATAGGTAAGATTACTCACCCGACAGGAGGGCTCAGAGAGGTTAAGTAACTTGCCTGAAGCCACACTGAGCGAATAGCAGAGCTGAGATTTCAGGCCCTGTGGAGTTGATAGCTGCTTCCCCTTTGGGTTTGAGTTGGTTTATTACAACCCTGCTCAACCCTTGGGACCACTGGACTATCTGGTTTCCCCTTTCCTGAAGGCTGGGAGCCTTCGGCAGCTCCCTGGTGTTAGGATCTGGAGATCACTTTGTATCACTTTGTGCCCAGCCAGGCTCTCAGCTGTGCCATGATGGTGCACACCTGTCATCCTAGTCCTCGGCAGGCTGAGACAGAAGGACTGCTGCAAGTTTGAAGCCAGCCTGGGCTACAGAGCGAGACCCAACAACAGAGACAATCATGGTGGGCAGCAGGTAGAGCTCCAGTTAGCAAGGACTGGTGGGGGCCCTGAAGAGAATGGATGCAGAGCTGCTAGGGTCCTCAGGAAGCCCGGGACCTCTATTATTCCCCCCCACCTCTCTCCCCCCTCTCCTCCTCTCTCTTCCTTTCTTTCTCTCTTTCTTCTTTTGGACAGGGTCTTGCTAAGTAAGTCATCCAGGCTGTCCTTCTTTCCTTCACTTCATAATCCTCTCGCAGTAGCCTCCCAGGTAGTGTGATGGCCTTGTTTCACAGAAGGGAGATCTAAGACACCTGAGCCCAGCACACACCCGTCTGGGCAGCAGGCAGCCTCAGGACCATGCACAGGCAGTGCCAGGCTCTTGGTTTCCTTACTTTCTCCCTCCAGCCTGAGTGCCCTGCTCTGCACTGTCACTGCTGACATGCCCTCTCCTCCTGCCCCATCTTTCTCACTGGGGGACTCACTTGAGGGCCTTCTGCTCCTTGCTCTCCTCCTCCACCGAGGAGGCAGCTATGGGTGGCTGTACCACAGAGAAGCAAGGACAGGGGCTGCACTGTGCAACCTCCAGCTCTACCCTGTGGGGCTCTGCTGGCTGTGGCCTGGCTCCTGGCCAGGGTGGAGTGAACTTCTGGCAAGACCACAGCTTGGTCCACAGGGCCTCACCACTAGCTGTGTGATCTCAGAGTTGTTTCACCTCTCTGAGCTTCAGCTTTCCCACCTAATTCTACACATTCTTGTCACTCATTTCTGAGGCAGAGCTGTCCCCACAGTAGATTTCTGTGTCCCTCTCCTCACCCAACACCAAGCCAAGCTGTCTTCAGTTTCCCAGACCTTGCCCTCAAAATCTTGCCTCTGTCTGATTAATGCCTAAGGCAGCAAGCCACGGCCTAAGCCTCACTCCCTCCTCCTGCATACAGGGATGAGAACACTTCTCTCCGATGTGCAGAGGGTGAAGTGACAACCTTTGAGGGGCAACGCTGGATCTGGATGTGTTGGTTTGTTTCAGTGACAGAGATATCCTTGAGAACTGGCCGGGCCTTACTCTGGTCAGTACTATGTGGGTGCCACAGTTAGATGGACCCAGGGGCCCAAGAGGGCTGTGTCTAGGCCCACCAAGGAGAAGCCCCTGCGTCAGTGTGGTCTCTGCCATGTGCTCTGGGCCTCGTGGCTGCCTCTTTCTGAGGCAGTTTCCTCTACTCTGAGGAGATGGTGGAGCCCACCCTGCTTCCTACAGGAGATTATAAAGATCCACGGAAGCACGGTGAGACTGCTGCAGGGGCTTGGCAGTGTCACTCTGAATGATCCAAGGAGGCACTCTTACAAGAGAATATCGGACTATTTATGAAATGAACAGGTCTGGAGCTCCGGTAACAACACCAGGATACACTTCTGGGTCACTTTATCAATAGCTTGTGTTGAAACCTCTCACTTCCAATCAGTGGCTGATTTCTTTCCACCTGAGCCCCCAATTATTGCTGTACTAACATTGTAAGAACAACTCAAATTTAAACAGCATGCAAGAAGCAGTAAAATAAACCCAAACAATTTAGCATTGAGCAAGCAAACAATTTACTCTTAAAATGACAAAGTGCAAGTGGACAACCTCTAAGCCAGGGGTTTGGTGAACTTGGATGAGAAAATTATTTGCACCAACAGTTAAGTAGAGCAGTTCCTTCAACTGTGAACACAGGCCACAGACCACAATAGTACCTGTAGTACCTGTGACTTAATCTCCAACATGCAGCCAACTTCAACAGTTACAAGTTTTAGGAAAGACACAGAAATTGTGCTTCAGAATTTTATTTTATTTTATTTTTTATTTTTTTCCCAGAACCGGGGATTGAACTCAGGCCTTTGTACTTGCCAGCGAAGCACTTATTCCACTGAGCCATCTCCCCGGCCCCTGTGCTTCAGAATTTTAGTACTGCAAAGAGTTGGAAAATCTGCACCAACTATATGATTTAGCTCCCTGACGACTTCCTTTTCCACTGTTGCAATTCCTGTCACCGAGCGTACCCCACCCAGACTCCAGAACCACCACCAAGGAAACAGATTGAAAAACATGACCACAGGACCTGCTTAGAAACTGAAACCCTGAGGGCGAGGCTAAGATCACATTGAGTTGGCTGGCATGCCTAGACTGGGAGGTTGAGGTTTTTGTAAACTGACCAGCATTGTAGTTGAACAACTCAGCCCAACAGGAAACAGAGCGGCAATAACCCAAATCCATGGAGCAACCTCCCCTTCTTGATCAATGGCATTCAGGTTGGGACTAGGATCTAGATTTGTCCCAGGATGACTGTGAAAATAACGTGGGGGAACAAAGACAGCTTTATGGATGAGTATAGAAATGTAAGTAAAACAAAACTGGGTATGGTGGTACATGCCTGTAACCCCAGCACTCAGGAGGCTGAAGAGGGGGATTCTGAGTCTGAGATCAGCCTGGGCTGCATAGAGATATACAGACGTAAAATAAAGGGAAATGGTTGTATTAGGTATTAAAGAAAAAGAACTCAGGGGCTAAGGCATCTCGGGCTGGGACCTGCCTCCTGTGGCCCTCCTTTCCCATTGCTGGCTGATGATCACTTTACACCCTAACCCTCTTGTTCAACCCCTAGCAAGGGCTTTCTGCTTAGGTCCAGGTTTCAAGAGTCCTTTATTGATCTCAGGACAAATCCTGAGGGCATTTCACTGACCTTCTCAGACCAAAAAGCTACAACTCTTGTTGCATAGGTCCTGCTTTACCTTGGTCTTAACCATCCAGTAGAAAAGTATGAAGACGAAATATAAGAAAAAAAGCCATGTTGTTAAGTTGAGCTGTGGGGGACTCAGGTCAATAATTTCTGACATTGCCAGTTAAACAGAAGACCCAATGCTATTATGGGCTACTGGACTCTTTTAGAATATTTTGCTGAGTTTACACACCTATAATATTCAACAACGGAACTTAGAAAAAATGGGGTATACCTATGAATGTCCATTTTGTATCTGTGTATTCAAAGTGGTTGGGATATATAGTTGCATTCTCTTAATGAATAGAATGATTTGTTCTAATGGTGTTTGTAAATAGGATTACAGGTCTGCATCTTGTACAGCAATTAAACTAAGAAGAATATATGCAGTGTATTATTTGTTGAAACTGTACTTCCGATTTGATTTGAAACTGTCTCATTGCTATCTGTTTATCAATAAAACTTTGAAAAAAAAAAGAATAACAAGGGAGTAAAAATAAAAAAATAAAAAAAAAAAGAGTCCTTTATTAGTCTGGTCTATAGACCCACGCATTGCTATACTTTCCTTTTCTTTTTCAGCAGGCTAGCTTTGAACTCATGACCATCCTTCTGCCTCAGCTTCCAAGTGCTGGGGTCACAGACATGGGCCACTACGCCCATGCTCACTGCTGCTTCTCTGTGCTGTTTCCCAGCCTACTAAATCAGCTGCGGTTCCTCCCCCTTGTCTCCAACTCAACAGCATCTGAGTTTCCGGCCCCCCTGCTTACAACACCGCTTTCCAGCAGTGCTTAGCTTTTTGTCTTTGTCTTTTTGAGACAGGGTTTCACTATGCAATTCAGGCTTGGCCTTGAACTCACTCTGCAGTCCAAACTGGCAGTGATTCTCAATTAGCAGTGATTCTCCTGGCCTCGGCCTCCTGAGTGCTGGGATTAGAGGCGTGTACCACTACATCTAACCTATTGTAGAGATTACTGAGACAAGACAGACTATATTATCACAAAGTGCCTGAGTGTTTTGTGAGAAGACCTGGAAACTGGGCCTACATCTTAGATGAGGGGACTGAACCAGTGGATGTGAGCCAGAGACCTAGAGTCTTGCAAATTTGTAGAGGCCCCAAACAAGACTGTCAGGAAGCCATTCTGTGTGACGAAGACGGTGCTTTCTCACATGAACAAGGAGCTGGAATATACCTGCCCAAAGAAAGGTGAAGCTACTACCTTAGATGTAGGTAGGATGAAAGGGAGGCCAAGGGTTCGTTCCCTTTGGTTTGAATTTCCAAGATCAGAAACATTTTTACCCTGTATATAGTTTGGAGGTTAATTTTTTTTTTTTTTTTTGCGGAACCAGGGATTGAACTCAGGCCCTTGTGCTTGCCAGGGAAGCGCTTATTCCACTGAGCATTTCCCCGGCCCCAGGTTAATTTTTCTTTTTTTTTGGCAGAACCGGGGATTGAACTCAGATCCTTGCGTTTGCCAGTCAAGCGCTTATCCTACTGAGCCATCTCCCCGGCCCCATGGTTAATTTTTCTTAAAGTGAAACTTTTTAAAATGTCAGTCTAGGGGCTGGAGAGATGGCTCAGTGGTCTAAAGCACCTACTTGAAACAGGCTTGGCAAAGCACAGGGACCGCGGTTCGATCCCCAGCACCACATGCCAGCCAGACCCGCCCCCTGGTGGGCTGAGCTGGCCACACACACACACACACAATAAATAAATGTAATAAATAAAAATAAATAAATATATATAAAAAAAATGTCAGTCTAAAAAAATAAATAAAAAATAAAATAAAATGTCAGTCTAAGGGCTGGTGAGATAGCTCAGCAGTCTAAAGTACCTGCTTAG